TCAGCTGGACGGAGATACGACAGCCGTGAAACGGCAGTCGTCTGATACTGGTGGGCCCACTGCCGCACAGTGCTTGACAGCAGTGGAAGTTCTACATTCTGGCGGTTCCAGCCACGAATACCAGAGACGGTGCTTGAGCAATGCTCGCACCAATCCTATTTTATGGCCTACCGGACGCAGCTCCCGAGGGATGTTCTACAACATCCTCGATGCAGCGGCTGAAGCGGCCTTCAATGTGGACCGCCGTCGCCTACAGCAATCATCCATTCGGGCAGTGGCCTTGGCTGAGGAGCCGAGTGCCAAGACTAGTCTGTGCTCTGGCTCAGAATGAACTTCCATGCTTGCTTTCAGTGCAGCGTCTGTTGCAGGATGCAAGAGGCGGTTTCGAGCTTTTGAAAGTGCGGTACGTGATGGCTGACTGGTCCGTTCACTGCCGCATGCTAGACCTGGCTGTGGCTGAGAAGGCTGGGCAGCACATGGGCGAGGGCAGATCGGGTTCCAGTACATTAGCCAAGCCGAGGCTGCACTGGACAAATCCAGATCGCTGCCTGACACCCTGGCCAGCTTTTTGCCGGAGCAGGCAGTCAGGAATGCTTTCAAAGACAAGATCCGGGTCTTTATGGCCGACGGGGAATTCAGCGAGCCTCTCGCGGCCCGCCTGAGTAAAGTGCCTCGCTTGCAGTTTCAGCGGATCTGAAGAAGAGCATGAGGGGTTTGAGGGACCGCTGCTGCACATGAGGTCCAGGGAACCCTTCCGGGCCTGAAAGCCATCATGAGATGCTCCGTCCACAGCGGACAAAGGGCGCTTGAGAAGGCCCTAGCGACTGACCCGGATGTCCAGGTTCTCGTCAAGAGTTGGGTGCTAGGATTCTCCGATGGCAGTGGCAAGAATCCAGGCGGATTCTGCCGAGCCGTGCGAAACTCGCAGAAGCTCCAGCGGCTGACAGCAGAGAAACAGCTTGAAGTTCTTGACGAAAGCTTGAGGCGACTGTCCCATTTCGGGTTTGCGCCCCAACGATTTAACACGGTGTGCGACGCCTGCGTCAACGTGGCTGAGAACATCGAAGCAGTCTGCAATGTCCTGAGCCATCTCGCAGCGGTGGATGATCAGCTGTCAGGCCACTGAACTGAACCAGAGTGTGCTCCGTATAGCAGTTTTTGTGGATGCCCAGGGCTTTGCTTGCCGATTGCTTTGTCCGTGCTGTCTGAGGTTGGGCCACAGAGCTTCTACAAAAATGTTTTCAGCCTGAGAAGCTCCTCCAACTAGGCCTGATAGCGGAGCTTGCCTGTGCCGCTGCGAACCGCGGCTGCAGGAATCATTCTAGTTTGCACGTTTTCAGAGAAGCTGGAAACGTGCGATCCAAGGAAATTCACCCACTCACTGGACGGCTCACATCTGCGATTGGCCTCGACAGCACACAATCTTCAGCAGCTCGAGTGCCTGATCAATAGACTCTTCGACTTTCGGAGTCCGGCAGGAGAGATGCAGCAGCCGCTGGTTCTGGATGACTCCTATGCACATGGCTACGTGCAAAGGCTGCAGGCGACCCTACAGCTTGAGCAGAACAAGTGCCTGGTTGTGAAGCAAAAGTTGGTGTTCTGGCACAGCGGCACCAGCAGGAACAAGCTACGAACCTTCGTAGCCAAGGAGCTCGGTGCCATTCGCAACATCGCTCAGCTTTTTCTTCAGGGCCTGAAAGCCGACGTGGAGGTTGGCGTCCAGTCATCCCTGGCTCCCTTTGATGTCAACCATGCCATGTGCAGCGACGAAGCTTTGCCAGAGCCACAGGATCCAAAATCTTCTGTCCGTTTCTGCTCCTAGAATCACCGCTACAAACATCCTCACAGCCAAGGCCTGACATCTTCAAACCGCTAGCAGCGGCTGCAGAAGTGGAGGTCTGGAGCCCACACCGCTTCACAGAACCGAGGCTGTGATGTTCAACCACTCAGGTGACACAGCTGGCCAAAGAGTTCCTTTTGGCACGTCCTACAGCCATGCTGGTGAAGTCACAGCCTCGCGGCGACAAGTTGTTTCTTAACAAGAGGTCCTCCACTCCAAGAATCGTGCATGACTGAGGACCGGAGGCGAAGATTTGAATGAGATCTGGTGCAGAACCATGCGGCATTGGTCTGATAAACTCCCGGCGTTGTCTGAGGCAGCCCCTTGCCTAGCTTTCTGTGTCCCTGAGCACTGGGATGTTCTGTTTTGGTGTTACTTCCTGAGGCTGCACTCGCCTTGAGTTGCTTCCCGAGCACCGGAGAGATTGAGCAGAATTTCAGCTGGCTTCAGCAATTCAGCGAAGGCAGAAAAGGCAAAACGAGTCGGCGGCACTTGAGGCAACTCGGCTCATGTGAAGTCCATCCTGTCCTCCTGCATGGGACTAGAGATTTGAATGAAATTCTTCTGCTCTCAGTCTCTGTCGAAGTGGCAGGTCCTTGATGAAGGTCCGCCTGGATGGGCCGACACCCGACGAGCTTGTCCAGCGCCAGGCCAACGAAATCGTCGCCAAGAAGCCGTGCCTGAAAGTGTTGCAAGCATACAGACGTATGTTTGCTCCAAGCGGTGGCTCGCAAGGATGCCGAGGCCAACTTCCCAAGCGGGTGCTCAACCGGCGGCTGAACCCTAAAAGCAGAGCTGGCCTGAAGAGACAGCGAGCCCAGGAGCAGCAGCAACTCTTGCAACAGGGGCCTGCAGAATCTCAGCCAGAAGACCTCGCTGTTTTGGAGGCTGAAGCCGAGCAATCGGCCAAACGTCGCAGGACTGACAAGCAGGATAGCCTCGCTGCCGCCCTGAACAAGTACAAGATCAAGAAGGAGGAATGGGCGACACTTGATGCTTCCTCCGAAGCAGCCGCTGCTGGCCGCCTAGTAGAAAAGGAGCGGGAGGCTGAAAAGCGCCTCGAGAAGCTCAAAAAGATCCGCATGGCCAAACTTTCAAGCGTGCGGTCTGACGTCCTTGAGGCCGGCCGTGTGCTCATGATAGTGAGCGGCCATGACTCCACCAAGACCCCTAATATGGCTGATCTTGAACGACTGGGCGAGGCACGTCTGTGGCCTGATGCGATCGAAGACCAAAGAAATTTGGTTTGCGATCTGCTTCGTCTCATGTCTGAGGACAGTCATCGCCTGCTCTACTGGGTATGCTTGTCTGACGTGGTCGAGCGGGAGTTCCTCTTCAGACCGGCTGAGTCCGCATTCGCTTCCATTGCTCGCCTGATGGGGGGCGGCTTCTGCGGCGCCTCCTGGACAATGGCGTGCATGAATGAAGCCCGTCTTCTTCCGGCCTTAACAGCACTTCATTGCAGCTACACGAAGAAACAGGAACTATGCCTACACAGCTCCTGTATGTCTGACACTTCTGCTTTGAATGCGACAAGGATGCTGGGGGCTGTCCTCGATGGCATAGAGACGGCTGACCTTACAGTACAATGGACACGTCGCAAGAGATGGCGAGATGTCACTTGCAAGAAGTGTTCGGTCATAGTCGACAGTGAGACGGCTGACAAGTACAGGAAGAGGAAGCAGAGGCATCCTGGCTGTCTGATGACAGTGGCGGAGTTCATCGCTGCCAGCAACACGGCTCTTCTTTCGTTGGT